TTACAAGCGTTTGGCATACATCATGACAGATATAAACGGAGCATTTACGCTGTGTGGTAGCGTACTTAGCTTTAGCTTTAGTTACACGGATGTTAAACAGTAGCGAAATGAATTTAATCAGTATTATCATTATTTATTTTTATTCTATTTTTTTTAAATCAGTTTTCTACTATCGAAAGATATCTATTTTATTCATGTTTCACAAGGGCAGGTTGGCGGAGTGACACATTTTATGATAGAATTTCATTAAAAATGCTGTGGGTTGTTTGGTTTTAGCTCCGCCAACAACAAGTTCCGGCCACGTCAGGCCCTCTACTGACGATAGGGAGCAATTACAATTGGTGTGCCATTGCACATCAACGATTGGTTGTTTATGAGTACAATAGCTGACGTCTGCAGAGGGCGTGGCGTGCAGGTAAGCAGACGTGGTTGGAGAGAGTTGAACGGCCTTCAATCACTATACATGGTCGATTATTCAACCACGTCCGCGGTTGTTTAGCAGTCAAAGTGGGTGCAATTGCTTCTTTTTGTCAGCAGAGGGCGAGGCGTGCATGAAGCATTTTGCCGGAACTTGTTGTTGGCGGAGCTAAAACCAAACACTCCGCTACCCTACCCTTGTGGAACATGAATAAAATAGATATCTTTCAAGTAGAAAATAAAATAATGATGAATAATGGTAATACCGATTCCAAAGAAAGTTTATATCTCAACATTTAAATCATTTCGCTACTGTTTATTATCCGTATAAATAGAGCCAAAGCTAAGTTCGCTACCGCACAGCGTGAGTGGTGCTTTTATATATGCCATGACGATTGACAAGGACTTGTAGGTTACAGTAGGTTGTGCTCTTTGTGACGGCGATTATGCTCTGTAAACGAAACCACTTAAACTCTATTTTTAGTTTTTGATTAGATTCTTCATTTCGTCTCTATATCCCTTATTTTTGCAACATTTCCATCTTAAAAAAATAACATCTGTATCTTAGACAATCTGCCCTCGCTCCGTTACTGTTCACATTTCACATGTTTATTAAAACATCACCAAAATATTACTATTATTATTATTGGTATCATATTATTATTGTTGTTGTTGTTTGGCAGCGTGGTAGTCCACAAAGAACATCCATATATTCAAAGCCCAGCATTGTTCCTCCATTTTGTTTTTATTTTTTAAATTTCATTTCCTGCAGGATGTCGCCGTCTTCTGGCCACATATAACACAACCGACCGCACTCTACAAGTGTTTAGCAATCGCCATGACAGAGATGAACGCAGCATTCATGCTGTGTGGTAGCGTACTTACCTTAAGTTACACGGATGTTAAACAGTAGCGAAATATACAATAACGAAATATATCTATTTTATCTATGTTCCACAAGGGTAGAGTAGCGTAGTTACACATTTTATGATAGTATTTTATTAAGAAATGCGGTCAGTTGTTCGGTTTTAGCTCCGCCAACAACAAGTTCCGGCCAAAGGTTTGGCTGTACTTCAAGCCATTTAAGGGAGCAATTTGCATTTGATGTGCCATTGCACTTCAACGATTGGTTGTTGATGTGCATTTGAATTAATCAACATCCAATCGTTAATGTGCATTTGAATTCACCAACAACCAATCGTTGATGTGCAATGGCACATCAATTGCAATTGCTTCTTTTTGTCAGCAGACAAAATGTGTCACTCCGCTACCCTACCCCTGTGGAACATAAATAAAATAGATAACTTTCGATAGCAGAAAGCCGAATTAAAAAAATAAAATAATGATAATGGTAATACTAATTCCCCAAACGTTTATATCTTAACCTTTAATGACTTTGCTATTATTTAATATAGCAAAATCATTAAACCAAAGCTAACGCTAAGTTCGCTACCGCACAGCGTGATTGCTGCCTTTCTATCTGCCATGACGGTTGTTAAACATTTGGAGAGTGCAGTCGGTTGTGCTATTATTGTGCAGTAGACTAAATTAAATAAAAGGACCGACAAAACAAAAACACATTATTTGGTCAAAATAGCGTAACGATACTTGAATACATCGATGTTCTTTGTGGACTGCCACATTGCCAAAGAACAACAGTAATAATGATAATAATAATAATACTTTGGTGATGTTTTAATAAGAGTGGCATATGTGGTCTGTTACATTTTGTACTGTTTGTTGGAATTGAGCTATGGAAAATAAATGTTACACAACATTAGCAGGCATTTTTAATTTGTAAAAGTATTTCTTGGAGACTAAGTAAGATTGGAGACCCCTATTTTAGTGTATAACAGGATATAAATTAATTGATTATTGTTACTTTTTGTAACAGTCAAATCGATTATTTACTTAGCCCAAGAACTAGATAATTCATCAACACGTAATATACATATATTAACAACATTTTATGAACATTTTAAATGGTTTAACTTCTTTTTCAACTGGATTTTTTTATTCTTCCTGATCTAGTATATATATAGTATACTGTTGTGTTATTTATTATGGCTTTATCTGCTGCTTTAACCAGAACTTTCAAAGCCTTATTTCACCTGCTACTACTCTTTTGTTTGAGCACTAGATAGAATTTTCTCTCTGCTCCTCAAACCACCTCTGGTGCAGCATCGCGCTCGATAAACCTCTACTTTTGGAAACACTTGCTGAGTGGGTACAGAGGTGGGCCTGCGACCCTTTCTTTTAAGAGAGCTTAATGATGACTTGGCAAACAAACTCTATCCAGAGTTGTTCTGTGTTGTGATGGTAAAGGGAGTGTGCCTCCATCAGTGGAGCAGCCTCAGGCTGTGCTGTGCTGTATATTCAGATGTCCGTGCTGGATCAAAAACAAACAAATGTCTCCGTCTATTTAGCACGGCTTCTGAAACATGTCAGTGGACCTACAACAATCCTGGCTCTCTACCTACAGTCAGTGTGATGGTGTAGCGCAGATGTTTGTGTGACCACATGATTCATCGAAATGTAAACAAACAAAAATAACATAGAACATTTCTTGCATTTACACTTACTTCTACTTCTGGTGCCTCCTGTGGCAGCCTGTGTGGGTTGCAGAGAGGAACTTTACCCATTGTGGAACGAATACAGGACGCTTTCTGTTTTCACCAACTGTCAACGAAGCAAAGTACAGTATGTCATAAGTGTTCTGTTTGATACAATGTCAGTTTTACAGCTTTTAATACATCAGTTTAAGTAGTTTTTTCCTGTTTGGAAGTATAAATAATATAAATATTATAAATTATAAATAAGAACTAATTTCCTGGCAGCGAGGGCCGACAACTTCCCACTGTTTGGTAAATTGCTTTTTCAAATCTACAGCCTGCTGAGGCATTTAGGAGAAAGAAATAGAAATTTTCTCTGCAGCAAGCTCAGACAGCAACTTCACATATTTCTTTTTTTTTTTTTTGTCTCTGTGTGTTTCCTGAGTAATTAAAGAAATGGAATGAAAATTCAACTTAGCGGAGTGTCTTATTGTGGTCGTCTACTTCACAGGTGCCCATTATACAACTCTACTGTGCATATAATTGTGTGGGAAAGGGTAATAGATTCTAGGGAGGGTTGATAACAGTGTGGGGGAGGTTCGTTAAGTAAATATATACGTAAATATTGCAATTAATTAGGGATCACGGTATATATTTGTTTGATCAGATGTATGTCTGCCAGTAACCATAACAACGTGTCCTGTCTGTCCTACAGGGACCTGCAGTGTTGTTCAATGGGTGACCGGACTTTGCCCATCGTATGCCTCTGAAGTTCCATCACTATTTGAGGGAGATCGTCCTCCATCAGAGCAGCAGGGATGTACCAGGAAGTGGCCTTCTTGGCGGGCAGCACTGACCACCAGTTCACCACCTTCCACTTCAACCGTGTACAGAACCCACAGGAGGTCAGCTCCAAGAAGGGTGTGTACTACAAGAGAGCCCAACTCCTGCCCCAGCAACAGCCTCACCTGCAGGACAGCGATGGAATCGACCGCGCCGATGGCGCAGCCATTATCAACGTAGGCGGCATCAAGTACCGCATCCCGTGGTCGACGTTGGAGGAGTTTCCTCTGTCACGGCTGGGAAAACTGCGCAGCTGCAGCAACGAGGCGGAGATCATGGACGTGTGCGACGACTACGACTGTAACCGCAACGAGTATTTCTTCGACAGGAGCCCGTCGGCCTTTCGCACCATCGTCACTTTCTTGGCAGCGGGGAAACTGCGCCTCCTCAGGGAGATGTGTGCCATGTCATTCCAGGAGGAGCTGCTGTACTGGGGGGTGGAGGAGAACAACTTGGACTGGTGCTGCCTGAGGAAGCTGAGGCTCAGGCAAGAGGAGTACAAGGAGCAGCAGAGGCTGGAGGAGGAGGAGGCTGAACTCACGACGCCACAGTCGTGCGAGGAGAGCCAGCAGCCTACCGGAGCCTGCGCTCAGGAGGAGACTCCCACGGGGGCCTGCATGCGGAGGTTGAGGGACATGGTGGAGAACCCGCACTCCGGGATACCGGGGAAAATCTTCGCCTGTCTGTCAGTGATATTTGTCGCCATCACTGCCGTGACGCTGTGTGTCAGCACCATGCCTGACCTCAGAGCAGAGGAGGAGAGGGTGAGTTCTCGTCGTGGTCAAATTTAAGCACTCAAGATTGTGGTAAATGGTGGGGGCGCAAGCATCAAACATCAATCAATCAATCAATCAATCAATCGCATTCGAACCCTCGGGGTTGGAGTTGACCCTACTTAGGTGTTTTAAAAAAAGTAATTACATATTATTATTATTATTTATATATTATTATTGTATCATATATATATTCAAAACTTTTGCATACAAATGATACTTTCAACTTCATACAAAGTTTATTAATACAAAGGGTTTTTTTTTTCTATCAAAACCCTTTCAGTACTGCAGTTTTAAAGGCTGTGACTTACCCGTAGCATCATCAGGTCACATGTTCTTATTGGTTAGATCTGGTGCCATGTTCTGCTCCGTTGGTTACAGTCTCTGTCTTTGTCAAATTCTGAAGGTACACAAAATGAAAAGCAAGGAAAACAAGTTTTATTCCACATACGTTATGATGCTGGCTGAGGAATCCCAGCCTTTTTTTTTATCACAACAGCCTGGGGGATATGTATGCTTTACAGTTGCTCTGCCAAATTCATATTATGTTAATGCAGCAGCCCACATAGTGAGTCTCCTCTCTGGTGCTGTATTGTAAATCGATGTGACAGAAGCTCAGGGAGCGCAGGCTTCCCCTCTGTCGACTGGAAAGACTGTAGCTCTCCTCACTGCAGCCACCGCAGCAGCAGCAGCAGCAGCACAGACTTATGGTACATTCTCTTTCAGGGAAATGACACACATATTCTCCAGTGTGTGTTATAATTAACCATGTACACAAAGCAATGAGGGGAAAAACACTATTGAATAACTGCAGCTTGGATTTTGGAGCTTCAGTTTCCAAAAAAATCCCACAGATTTTCTTGATGCTGCAGTTCATTTTCCATGGACTGCCTCTGAAAGAATGATGTCCTTAAACACAAAGGTTAGTTTAAACATCTATATGCAAAAGCATGTGGGCCGTGAACAGAAACAGTGACTAACTTTACCGTAAACTTATGGTTTGTTTCAAACATACGAGTGCTGAACAGAAGGGAGCGAAATCTGTCACAGTTTTTTCCTGCATTATTGTACCGTCCATTACGCCTTGTGATGGAAAAGTAAGTGTCATCTTTTAATGTGAAGAGACACCAAAAAGTTTGAATTAAAAGAGCTAGCATAATCTACATAAACAACAGTAAGGTTGTGGGAAGAAGCGACTTGTTGATTTTACTCACAACCTTCATTTGTGCTAATGATAACACTGGCATTTATAGAGACGTATACGCCACATACAGCTGCACAGATTATCTCTAAATGACCATTTGCTGAAGTACTCACTTTTAAAGTGTTTTTTCATAATTAGAGATAAAGGATCTCTAATTATAACAGTCATTTTCTGGGTTCGATGACCCTACGCTCCATTCATTTACACACTCATTACAGTTGCATTTGCATTTCTGTCGCATCGTAATATCTTTCATTTCACTTTCACACGCTGGTAACATGAGGTACAGTTAGTGTCTCGCTCTACATGCAGTACAGTACATCAGCATGTGGACCAAAAGAGCCCAGGCTCAAGTCAGCAAATGTTTTTTTCCTACTCTTGCAAAATAAACGTCCACAAAAAAACCCCAAAAAACTATTGGTTCTCACACAAAAGCAAATGGTGAATGTGCTTCAAAGAGGTAATGGGATTGCTTAGGGGAAAGAGCTTCTCCTGGGGAGCAGGGCAGCATGGAGGAGTGCACAATCAACTCAAATAATAGAAGGTGACGTATTTAAACAGATTTAGACTGTGCTTTGATTATGAAGTAAATGGTCTGAGCTAATTTCTAGTCCTACTGACCAAGCACTTCACACTGCAGTTTTTTTTTTGTACCTTCTATTAGTGAAGGCAAGGGGGTTAAATATAAGCTTCCAAATCTGGAACTGAAACCTCTCTGCCCCTGTCCCCCTTAAAGGTCTGTAAGTAAACAAGGTAAACAACATTTTCGCTAATGAGCAACGCAACTCAACCAATGTGGCTCCGAGAAGCACTGCGTGGCAGAGAGATCCCTTTTTTCTTTCATTTTCTCGTATGCACAAGAAAAAAACTCTATTGTAAAGATCCCAGTCCACGCTCTCTAATGAATAGGAGATTAAACATTTGGAGTGATTTGTCAAATTCACCACACAGAATTGCTTACTTCGTCCACATAAAAAGAATCTTTGAGAAGTGTGTCCGTGTCCCATTAATCTACCGCTGCAGACTAACCTCTCACTGACTTCAACCGTGCACCACAACCCCCCAAACAATCCATTATGATACCAACCCCGGCTACTTAAAAATACTACTTCACTATAGCCATTCATCATATCAAGCCGCCAAAGAGAAACGTGCGCAAATTAGAAGTGGAGAGAGTGTTCTAAATTAGGAGGTTCCTCCTGTGTGAGTTGGACTCACTGCAGTTAATGTCAAACCAAGTGTGCCATCCATCACGTTGACGATAATTTGAATTTCCCCCACCGATGATTTGTTGAATAATTTTGAAAAAGTCAAGGAGATTGCTGTTATTTATCATAACACGTAAACCCACTGGGAAAAGTTAACATGGATCGGGCTTCTCTGTCAATGTAAAACGATGCAAGATGTGATGATGACACAGCAGAAAAAGGCTGATCAAAAATGGTTGCTGATCTGTAATTTCCCTATTATTTACATATAATTTGACCATAATTTAATATCAAACTCATTTTGGTTCAGGGGCTGCACACAATCGAATTAGATCAACATAATTAACTATAAACAACAAAAGTCCGTCTTATTCCCTTTTGTTTTCATGCAAAAAAGTTGATAAAAAAAAAGATAAATCTTCATACTTCATAAATTCATTAAATGTTTTTTGGCCCGTGGGCCATATATTTGACAGCCCTGCTCTAGACACTGACTTAAAATTGCTTTTCTTTTAAAATTCTGGTCCATTATTTTTGGAACGTGTTCATGTGTTAAGTGCTGTCGTCTACTATTTACTTCATTACTGCTGCTCGGTCATAAAGCAGAAGTGTACGGTAGGGGTCCTGAATGCAGCGTCACAGTCAAAGGTGAGGCGTGGGTTGGGATGGAGGGACATTATTTGCACATTTAGACGTCAGCAAATAGTAAACGAGGTGAAGCAGAGTCAAGTAATAATTCAGTTCAGTAACATTAGCGCAATTCCCCCAGGAGAAAACAAAGCTAAAAGTGATGTGTTGACAAAGTTGACACGCACACACAAGCACAGTCATGTGGAAAGACAAAGGTCGTGAGTGTGTGTGGCAGACAGCGCTGCATTTGAAGTCCACCTGTTGTTGAGGGGCTCTCATCGACACCTCTTCAGGAATCAGAGGCGAGCCGCTGCTTTTTGCTTCATTTGGTTTCCATGCCTCACACCGTGACGGGGTCAGAGTCCTGTGTGTTTCGAATTTCATCATCGCTGATTCTTGGCACATCAGAGGCTCATTGGTGCCGACAAAAAGCTGGAGGCTGAGGAAGAAGCAATCGACCAGAAAGTCTCTGTCAGATGACGACAAACGTATTTGGGCTTTTATATCATGTTTGCACCTTTGACCTTTTTTCAAAGGTTTTCAGGTTCAGTTTTTTTCTTTCGTATCAGAGTCAAGTTAGTTTCTCAGGGAATAATACTAGTGCAACTAATGCAACCATGCAGCCCAAATGTCTCCGTCATATTTTTTCAATATTATTATTAGTTATTTTTTAACACATTTTCTTTTTTTTACTACTTTTTCTACAATACACGTCCATATTAAATTAATCACATACTATATTATTTATAGCCAAAGTTCACAGTCTTCACTGAGGTTATACTGATTAATTCCTGGACACTGTGATGATGAACAACATCCACACGACGGAGGAAAGTGTCATCCGTCTTCCAGGTGAAATTATAAATATATAAAATGTCTGCTGTGGACGGGGAAAATAAAGTGGTGCAAATCAAAAATATTAATTTTTGATGGCAGAGAATTTAATTAAGCATTCACCGCAAATAAATCTTCAACGGTCTTAGCCATAAAGTCAACCACTGGAATGATCGGGTGATGTACGGTAATTACTTATTAGTGATCGTAGTGACTTTCATCAGCCCAGCTGCTCCTCTTAAATCTGCTTCTTCCTTCAGAGTCATGGAAAAATTACAGCAGGGTCTGAAAGATGAGAGAGAGAGGGGGAGACAGAGAGAGGGACAGGAAAGTGAACATGGTGCTTTTCTGGCTTTTATGATTCTTTTCCAGTCTGCCTCTGCACCGTTCACACAGCAGGCTCTTAAACAGTATGTCAGAGCACTTTGAGTGGAACCGCAGTGAAAGGCTCTCGTCATCTCCGCAGACAGGTTGTTCTTTTCAGTGTCCACAGAAAGCAGAACTGTGGCCAGACCTCTGTAACCAGGGCAGAGGTGTTGATTGTCCCTGTCAGGTCCTCTTACTGGAGCGAGTCTCCGGGAACTTCCAGCCGCTTCACCTGCTTCACTCCCTTCAACCCGATGATTGGGCTGAGGACGTCCAGAGTCAAAATCGACCGGACTGTCTTTTAGACGACTCAGTGAGACGTCATTGTCCACACAGCATCTCGACGCTCTCCACTCTCCTGTTGTTTGGAAGGAGCCCTGACATTCTGGGGTCATGACCTTAGGTGGTTTTCAAAGCAGTTCAGTCAAATGTACAGACTCGATAGAAACAGTGTTTTACTACTGTTTTTTTTTTCCTTTTCCCCACAGAACATATTGTGAAGCTCTGCGACTGATTTAAGTTACGTGGTTCCATAGTGTAGCTGTTAGCACGCCTGCCGTAGAAGCTAGGTGCAGATAGTCCAAGGTTCAATTCCCAGAGTTAGTGTGGGATCACTATAGTTCAAGTTATTAATTCATTATTATTATTATTATTATTGAGTAGGGCTGCACTGACCAGACTCTACAGTCAAGATAACGATACCAACCTGATACTGTTGTTGAAATGACTTTAAGCAAATTCTCAGATTTGTTATTTACATATTGTCTATTACTTTTCACTGAAGAAAATAGTTAATTATTAAAATAAACAATTAAATAAATCTGCCTTGGTAGTCATTGAATGTAACTCAAATAATTATTTTCGCTTTCGTTGGACTGCATAGTACAGACAAATTGTATTGCTTGAATTATTGGACCAGTTTGATCTACACGACTCGGCCGCACCAGCAGTTAAACCAGGGTCATAACCAGACAGCCTGCAGTAGAATAAAGGGAGAATCACAGTGAAATTAATTCTGACTTTGACTTAATAACCAAGTAATTTCATATAATCACATTTTCAAATATTTATGAGTCTCGCCCTTGCAGACTTGGGGGCAGAAAATCATCAAGAGATGAAAAGAAAGGAGCAGAGTACTTTCTAGAATCATAGCAGAGCCTCCTTTCCTCCAGTTTCATCATCGCCAACAGCTTTTACTGGACGACCACTCAGATGTGATTTATGCGTAAGATTTGTTCAATGAGAAAATCAAAGCCCGGTGGTTTTTTTTTTCCATATAGTGAATCTTTCAGCGCCTTTTTGTCTGTGAAAGCAGAGAGACTCACCTTTTTGTTGTTGTGTGATCAAACAAACCAAACCACTCACCGTCACTTTAAAGCCACCCAAAAGACGGTGTCTAATTACTGGCTCCCCATCACGTCTTCTATTTGACTTTTCAACATTGTTGCATCATTTATGTCTTTGTTTTTTTTTTTGTTTTTTTTTCTGCAGGGTGAGTGTTCTCAGAGATGCTTCAACATCTTTGTGCTGGAGACCGTTTGCGTCGCCTGGTTCTCCCTGGAGTTC